TAGCTCATGCCAGGGACGATGGATATCGCCGAGGGTCAAGGAGAACCCGCGGATGGCGAATCGAACGTGAAGCATGGAGCTAGGGAAAGACTGGTAAGAAAAAGTTAGAAGCCAATGGTAAAACGCCGCAAAATGAAGAAAACGCCACAAACGCCGTGGCTTACCAAAATTGCACCAAGACCGACGATTGGAAATGCCGAAATGCCATCATGATCACGATCACGATCGCGCACCGTCCCCTAATCACGAAGAAGACCTATACGCCGTGAACGAAAAGCAGCACGACAGTCCTTTCATAGTGCATTGACTTTGCTAAAAAGGATGAAGACGATGTTAACGACGTCAAAGGCTGATCTCGAACATGTTCTCTCCCGTTCAAGAGAGATTGATGATCTATGGAATAAATTACACGCTGACAAACGCGGAGAAACGCTACAAAACAAAACAAAACAAAAAAAAAAAAAAAAAAAAAAACTGAAGGTTAAACACTCAAGAAAAGACACGCCCCGACCCAAAGAACCCACCTGCAACGGCATGTCAGCTCCGATGTGAATGCCGGGAAGCTGTCATGGCCGTGATCGTGATCACGTCCCCCACGAGAAATCACAAAGAAAACGACGACTTGAGGGAAATGGACGAAGCAAAGGATTTAATAAGATGCTGACGTATGACCCGGATCGAAGAATCACCGCTCACGACGCATTGGTACACCCGTAGTTTAAGTATGCTGCTGTGGATTTTTCTACCTCTACTCCGATATCACCCCAAATTCCTTTATCCAGCGCGAGAGCACATGCCGACTCGTCACATCGTTTAATGACTCCCGGATCTTCTGATTCAGAGTCCGATATCTCAATTGCACACATACCATTTGCGCCTACTCTGGGTGAATGTAGAAATCCTCTGCGTGTCTCGAGACACAGTTCGGCCGAAATCTACAAGGATGATAGACGTGGTATAGTGTTTAATTCGATGAATGAAGTGATCGAAAAAAAAAAAAAGTGTGTGTCATTATCGGATGCTGCCGAACATAAGATGGTTGACGAACGATCCTCCGAAGATGGAGCTAGGACACGAAGCAAACAAACGATATCAGCGAATGGACGAAGGCATCCACAAAATATGTGGACAAATACGACATAGAGGCCGACGACCACGAAGAAGTCAAGACACCGAAATGCCGTCATAATCGTGATCACAATCATGATCACGGTCGCGCCTCCCGACGATGAAGATACCACCACCATCACGACAAAGACGACGACGGAAAAGAAAAGGAGAGCCTACGGAATAGCTTACCGCCGCCGAACCAACCAACCGTCCCCATGAAGCCGCATCAAGACCGACTTTGACGAACCCGCGATCCTCGCTGATCATCGCGATTGGTCGCGTAACGGCAACGGCATAACCTAACAAAAAAAAAAAAGAAGAGACGTGGTTAACATACAGTATACTTCGACACCATAAACCCATTAGCATTTACCTACCTTGATAGCATACATGCCCCCTGAGAAACCGACCGCGCCATAATTGAATCATGTTGTGATGAAATCCCCGTCCCTTTACAAAAACAAATGAAGACAAATGCGAAGTTAATAATTACCTTTACCCCTTTTAATTACCCTTACCCTTTTTTACAATTCCTTTATAATTCCTTCATCATTCCTTTGATAATCCCCATACTCTATTAGCATTTAGTGACACATATATCGTTTTATTTCTTTATTTTTAAGACTTGAGAAAATATTATTATTT